CTACCTACCTACCTACCTACCTACCTACCTACCTACCTACCTACCTACCTACCTACCTAAAAATGGCTGTGTGTGTGTGTGTATGTATGTTCCAGCATAACTCTGGAACACCTGGAGCAATTTCAACCAAACTTGGTACACAGATTACTTACTCTCTGGAAACAAATCCTGTGAGGGTAAGACACCCCTAACACCTCTTGGGGGTGTGTATTCTGTTAAGTTGCAGCCTGTTGTGCCTTAAAATGGCTTCTACTGTACAGTGCTGTGGAGTTGCCTTGGTAACGGCTTCACAGTACTCCACAAGGGAGATCCCTCTGGTAAGGGGGGAAATCCAACATTAGAAATTGTGGCGATATTCATGGAAGGAGGGTTGGGATAAATAAATATCCGTGCAGCGCCAGGTTATCATCCAGTTACAAATAAAGTGAATATCTTTCATCTTTAACTTTCTCAGATCATTCAGAGAAGAAATCACCTTCCATGCCAGCAACATACAGCATTCCTGCTATTTGGCGCGCCTCTTCCAAAAAGGTGGAAGATTTACTGTACAGTGCATGAGATCACATTTAATGACAGGCAAACGGCGACATAAACCACATCCGCAACCTTCTGTTGGGATAACACTTCAATTGGCAGCTCCTATTTTAATGGAGATTATTTTATTTGGCCTCTCCCAGGTTAAACAACACCACAATTAAGGAAAATGTTGATCCACAATCTCACACACAAGTTGTTCCGTGCTTCCAATGAGCAAAACGATTCCATCTAAGCCTTGCAGTGTGAAGAAGGAAAGTGGGCAATTATTATAACGGATAAAGGTAAAGGTTCCCCTTGCACATATGTGCTAGTCGTTCCTGACTCTAGGGGGCAGTGCTCATCTCCGTTTCAAAGCTGAAGAACCAACACTGTCCGAAGACGTCTCCGTGGTCATGTGGCCGGCATGACTAAATGCCAAAGGCACACGGAACACTATTCCCTTCCCACCAAAGGTGGTTCCTATTTTTCTACTTTCGAACTGCTAGGTTGGCAGAAACTGGGATAGGTAACAGGAGCTCACTACATTACGCAGCACTAGAGATTCGAACCACAGAACTACCGACCTTTCGATAGACAAGCTCAGTGTCTTAGCCACTGAGCCATGGCGTCCCTATTATATGGGTAGTCGACCACAATTCAGAAGAGTGACCTTTGTCTTTTCAAAAGCAGATGGACTTTTGAATCTTGTCCTGAGGAGTTTGTTCTCCTACGTTGTGCCATACATTGATGAAGTGGTTGACATAGGAGAACAAACTTTCAAACTTTAATGGTATTTGTATGCCGCCCACTCCCTAGGGACTCTGGGCGGCTCACAGCAAATAAAAACAGCAAATAAAACATTTAAACATTTAAAATTACAAAATTAAAATCAACACAGCCATCCATTTCATCAAATGGGGCTGGAATACTCCACAGCCCCAGGCCTGCCGGAACAGCCAGGTCTTAGTCGCTTTACGGAAGGCCGGGAGGGTGGTGAGGGTCCGGAGCTCAGCAGGACGCTCGTTCCACAAGGCCAGTGCAGCTATAGAGAAGGCCCTCCCTCGGGGAGCCGCCAACCGGCATTGTCCGGTCGATGGCACCCGAGGAGGCCCAACCTGTGTGATCCCATGAGGAATAGATTCAGCCGTCCATCTGCATCTGCATTTACAAGACAAAGGCCACACTTTTGAAGAAAGCAAAGTCCAAATTTTGGACAGAGGAGATCGTTGGTTTGAAAGAAGGGTTCAAAGAGGTTATCTGTGTCAAATTTGAACAGTCCTCCCGCAACGGAGGGAGAGGGATACAACATCATCTATCTCCAGTCTACAACGCACTCCTTTTAACAGTTCCACACCCATTTGCACCACTCAGGTGACCCTGAGGACAGAGATAAACCTCCAAGTGGCCTCAACGACCCTCTAAAAGGATGCAAAGGACCAGCGGTCTGCAAGGAGTATAAATCCTTCCATCTCCCCACCATCCAGTCAGAGCTGAAGAAGCTTCTTGGATGAGAAGCAAAAAGTCTTCAAAGACAAACAAGAAAGTCCTGTTGCCTGTTGAAATAAAGCACCTCTGGGACAGCCATGATTGGTTGACTGAGAATCTCCATCGGCAAATGCAGGAAGAAGAAATTCAGAGAAGAAAAACAGCAGGGAGAGGGAGAGGGAGAGGGGGAGAGAGGGAGAGAGGGAAATGCAGGAAGAAGAAATTCAGAGAAGAAAAACAGCAGCGAGAGAGAGAGAGAGAGAGACAGAGACAGAGAGAGACAGAGAGAGAGAGACAGAGAGAGACAGAGAGA